TAGGAAAGAACCCATAAAGCTTTGGTGCGGATCTGGATGAGGGGGCAGATCCAGGAATCTTTTTTTCACTTTCTTTAACATATTTTGTTTTTCCACATTTTCAGTTCAACCACAATAACCCTTGTGCTACATTCACACAAGCCTTAGAGCTGAATTCCGATTTTTTTTTTTCTAGATAAAATTTTTTATGTAGCTTTTCAAATAATCTTTTAAATTGTGGTCGGTATCCAACTCAGTGGTGAACTGGTCATGGCCTGATGTGACCTGCATGCACAGAAGACATCACACGCAGCACGCTGTACGCAGAAGTAAACAAGGAGAAAAAGTTGGTTAGAAACATGAAGGCCACAGATGAAAACATTTTCATTTTCATTTTTCTTTTGATATTCTTTCAAACAGATCGGTTACGATACGACCTTTCAAGTTTAGTAGTACAGACGTGTCACGTCAAGTACTTCTGAGGTCTAAAAACTCACTGTCCCTCCACTGACTACCTCCGTCACAACTGTCCTCTATGTTTGTTTCTGCAGGTTGACTCCTGCCCGCCCCTTATCCTATGCAACATTAAGAGGGGGGGGGGTCGATTTGGGCCACTTTAGCCTGCTGTGTGAACATAGCGTTATAGTTGTCGAGAACAAATTACCCAATGGATGCCAATTTGTCATCAGTTGGCCTGAAGTGGAAACAAACTAACTGCGAAGTGGATAATTGATCATCCTTACTGTATAGTCCATTGAATTTGTGGAGAAAGCTGTGTGTTGACTTTGAATTATCATCTTTTTTGAGAGCCAGTGAAAGCCTCCATTGATCTTCAACTTTTGTAACTGTTTTCCAACTTTACTGTCTAATGTTGAGGCCAATTGTTAGGAAATCCATTTAGGTGGGCTGAATCAAAACAAAGGCCCGTTTGTCTTAAATCCAGCTCTGACTTTCTTCTTTGTACTTCAACATACTTACTAACAGGGACACTTTCTACACACGATACGACCTTGCTCCAAAGTTGGAGCTGGAGTTTGTGGCATTATTGATGTCAGCTACCTTTAAACGATCCACTCTGCGTGAAAACCACCAATAACTAGGACTTATAATATCCCTATATGAGAGGAATATGTTTTACATGAGGGTTTTGCTTGTTGGAACAATACCACTACAGTTTAACAGATTTAAAAAATACATGCGTCACAGCAGACAGTCTCTGCTTGCCTCCTGCTGTTTGAAATACTTGGCTCTGTCTCTTTCCAAACAATGAGTACTGGCTGACTAAGATGGCATATGATTGCATGTGATATCACCCAACACTCAAACTCAAACTTTGCTTGGGCTCTTCAAGATTGTGATAAGAGGTGACATGTTCAAGAGAAATTTGCAAAACAGGGCTCCCACAGAGGTGTGTGTGCGAGTGTGTGTGAGTGTGT